TTGAGATAGGATTTATAGCATTATTGCATGCAACATAAAGAAACTGGGAGGAAGGGAAGACAGCTGAAATTACAACTGCTGCTCATTTGGTTTAGAAAATACGGTCTTTTTTTTTGCAATTGATAACTGTGGAACCATTGCATGGTGCTGGCGTTTGGATAGCAAGTTAGGCTCAGAAATTCGGCGAGTGGCAAGGAGACATCTTGCCTTCTGCCGGATGTGTAAAACGGAATGATTCAGGGGGACATTTTTTGTAAGGGGAACAGAGTTGTGGTTTGAATGTCTGTGAAAACACTCAAGGCATTGTTTTTTGCATTGTGTTGCATTATTGTATGGTTCATTATGCGGCTTTGAATCGTTTAATCTGCCTCGCGTCCCAGTGAGAAAGACGGACAATAAATGAAGTCAATAAATAAATCGTCCAGGGTGCATCTAGGGGACAGGACAACTTAATTGCTCAGAGACCTTAAAACGACAGCGTCGAGGAGAGACAGGTAGAACCACAATGCATTTGGGGTGGGCAGAAGGCAGCATTAGTCAAAGCAGAACCATTGTGCCGAAGTATTTTCAGAACGTCAAGTCAACATTCATGGTTTAGGTCAAGTCCTCCCAGATGTTCTTACAAACACAGAAACTAATAAATTCCATTTAAAACACAAACTTACACACGCACATCAGATAGACAGATAGACAGACAGATAGACAGATGGTAGATAGACAGATGGTAGATAGATGGATAGATAGATAGATGGATAGATAGATGGATAGATAGATAGATAGATAGACAGACAGATAGACAGACAGATAGACAGACAGACAGACAGACAGTTTGGTGTGAGAGCCAGTTTGGTGTAGTTTGTAGGAGCACGGACTCTAATCTGGGAGAACTAGGTTTGATTCCCCACTCCGCTGCTAGTGTGACCTTGGGTCAGTCACAAGTTCTTTCAGAGCTGTTCTCTCACAAGCAGTTCTCAAAAGAGTTATCTCAGCCCCATCGACCTCACAGGGTGTCTGTTGTGGGGAGGGGAAGGGAAAGGAGTTTGTAAGCCGCTCTGAGACTCTGAGTGAAGGGCGGGATATAAATCCAATCTCCTCCTCCTCCTCCTCCTCCTCCTCCTCCTCTCTTCTTCTTCTAGTGCAAAGAAGGGAATAGGAGACTACTGGGGGGGGGCGGAGCAACTCCAATTGTAGCTCTGAGCGGAGATTCACGTGCAGGGAAATGCCAGCTCCCTGCACTTAAATGGGCCTCTTTAAGTGCAGGGAGCTGGCATTTCCCGCACGCCCGATCTCCAAGCGGAGATCGGGTGTGTGGCCCGCAGCGACCCCTCTTCCTCCTCTCTCTCAAGAGAGAAGGGAGAGGGGTGGCTGTGGGTGCTGAGGCTTGGGGGCAAGGCTTCCCCACCAGCCATTTTGCTGGCGGTGGGTAGAACCCCCCCAAAAGCTGGGGACCCCTGCCAAACTAGGGGGGGAGGTTGGCAGCCCTAGAAAAATGCCAGCCTGGTAACATGCGCAACTTGGGCCTCCACCAATAAGGCATCCAAGGTCATGCCCAAACTCTTGACCGTCCAAGCTGCTTAGATGAACTCATATTTTACAGTATTTGGGGCGTCAGAGAGGTTACAAGGTCAAGTCCTTGTTCTTCCCTCAAAGGAAAACACATCTATGCGTCGTCCACCTTGAATCCCTGTGAGAAAGGTAAACTACAAATAATGTGAATAAATAAATGAATTTTACAATCCCTTTCCCGGTCACAATGAGGACTGGAAAGTTAGTTTTGAAACCATTCTGACATTCTCTCCCATGCTTACCTAACATATTTATTGAGAGACAGGAGGAAGGGTTTCTGCCAAGGATTTTACAAAAACGTCAAAATCGCTGGCTACATGCCTATTGTGTCCCGAACAATCCCGGCCGTGACAGAACTCTCTATTTTTCTTAGCCTGTGTCCCAGAGATTGTCAGATCCTGGGAGGAAGGATTAAGTTTCAGGAGGAATGCAGAACGGTCAGTTACTTCAGCATTCTTGAGTCATCCCAACTCTGGAGGCGTTTAATCCTCTCTTTTTTAAAAAAGGGTCTCCAATGAGATGGCAGGAAACCGCCATCTGTGGAAAAGATTTAGGACTGAGGCTTAAGTGGATAGACAGATCTAAATACCAGGACATGGTGCCTGACCCATGTTTCCCCCTTGTTATATGTGAGGAATGATCCCGGACGGAAGACGGGTGGGGGAGGGAATCTACCCAGCTTTCTGGAGAGACAGAAGGCCGACCGACTTCCGAAGCCCGTGGGCCGCAGTCTTCCCAGACAAGATGCTCAGGGCCTGGACCCTCTCCAGCCATGACATCAGCTCCTGGTTTACTCCCAAGAGAACAGTCAAAGAGGGCAGGGGTGTTTTCGTTTTCGGATCGGGCCCATCTTAATGGAGACTTTTTCTTCCTAGGCTGTTCCAGGCAGGAAAGCTAAAAAAGAGCCAAGTGGGAACGCCGGAATGCTTTCTGTTTGACCAGCCCCCGGCTGTTGAGGAAGCGATTCTTCCCCTGCGGGAAAGGATGGTTGCCACTAAAAGAGGGCTTCTTTCGTTCTTCATCCTTCTGGGAGCGCCTTCCATTTGGGGTGAGCACCGCTGCCAACTGATCACTGCGAAGGCAAGGGTATCAAAATGGCAGGGCATGACATTCAGTGACGTGACGGTTTGGGGTTCTCCGTTCCTTATGTCCAAAGGTCAGGGTCCAAAATTTGACTTAACTTGTCCAGCCATGATGAAAGTCTTTCTCCACACAAGCTGAGATTAAATTAGGGATGCCAACCTCCAGGTGGGACCTGGGGATCCCCCAGAATCACAGCTCCTCTCCAGACTACAGAGATCAGTCCCCCCTGGAGAAAATAGGTGCTTTAGAGGGTGGACTCTATGGCATTGTACGCCACTGAGGTTCCTGTCCTCCTGAGGCTCCATCCCCATATCTCCAGGAGTTTCCAAACCTGGATCTGGCAACCCTACACCCCTGTCCCCCGCCAGTGGCCAGGAAAGACCGGGGAACCCTATATAGATGTCCCAAGATCCAATGAGCAGGGACAGAAAGGGCAAAAACCTGAACCTTAACACTAAAATTCAGAACCTTACAAAGGTTAGAACATAAGAACCTAAGAGACACCAATGTTGGATTAGGCCAAAGGCCCATCACAGAGTGGCCAAAAACACCAGGTGCCACCAGGAGGTCCACCAGTGGGGCCAGGACACTAGAAGCCCTCCCACTGCTGCCCACCCCCCAAGCACCAAGAAGACAGAGCATAACTTGCCCCAGACCAAGAGTTCCTAGAAGAACATAAGAGAAGCCAATGTTGGATCAGGCCAATGGCCTATCTAGTCCAACACTCTGTCACACAGGGGCCAAATACACCAGGTGCCATCAGGAGGTCAAGCAGTGGGGCCAGGACACTAGAAGCCCTCCCACTGTTGCCCCCCCCCCCAAGCACCCAGAATGCAGAGCATCACTTGCTCCAGACCAAGAGTTCCTAAAAAAACATAAGAGAAGCCAATGTTGGATCAGGTCAATGGCCTATCTAGTCCAACACTCTGTATCACACAGTGGCCAAAAATACCAGGTGCCATCAGGAGGTCCAGCAGTAGAGCCAGGACACTAGAAGCCCTCCCACTGTTGACCCCCACAAGCACCAAGAATACAGAGCATCACTTGCCCCAGAGCCCCTATCTATACCTTGTGGCTAATAGCCACTGATGGACCTCTGCTCCATATGCTTATCTAATTCCCTCTTGAAGCCGTCCATGCTTGTAGCCGCCACCACCTCCTGTGGCAGTGAATTCCATGAGTCAATCACTCTTTGGGTGAAGAAGGATTTCCTTTTATCCGTTCTAACCCGACCGCTCAGCGATTTCATGGAGTGCCCACGAGTTCTTGTATTGTGAGAAAGGGAGAAAAGTTAGTAAAATGTGAAAAAAGAGGGCCAATATTAAAAACTAAACGTAGAAAATATATAGAAAAAGATACATGTATTTATTAATTACACATTTTAAAACATATATAAGGGCCCATTCACATCAAATATATAAATAACATGGCCATACACACGGGCTTAAAAACCTGACCTGACCTGATGGATACATCTCAAGAACACTGTGACAACACAATCAAAGAAGGCAATTCTTGGACCAAAAGTCTATACTTTAGAACCACTGGGCAAATGATTGCACTTTTAAAGATCTCATTTGCATATTTATTGTGTGCCTGGTGGTTTTATTCTGGAACAACTGGTGTTCTGGTCCATGTTGAATTTATATTTTGTATCCATTCTGATTGTGTCTACATGATTGTATTATATTTATATAGCCATCTCGCCACTCAATCGTTCGACCTCTGAGGAAGGCCTATGCAGGCCAAAACGCGTCAGGTCAAGGTCCAATGAGACCTGTTTCCCCCAAAGATACCTGGGACGAACTGGGCCTAGTCCAAAACAGTTCTGAGGGCTAGCATCTGCTTGCTGAAAAACGCAGGCCGGGCAGCATGCAGAACACGATTGTCCTTGATTCTCCATCCAGTTCCCCTCACCCAAACACTACTTTTTTCGGGGGAAACGTGAACAGGAAGACAGGCAAATAAATGGGGGCAGATCTGCTCATTTGGTCTACTTTGGCTCATAGAAAACTGGCCGCAATGTTCCCTCTAAGCTGTGGAGTCTTGTGAGCAAAAGTTCTACTTTGTGAGCGACTGGCATTAAAGTTGTGAGCGAGTGATTTGGCTCCTGCATCAATTAGTCTGCTCCGGAGACATCCTTCCTGAGCCGAGACAAAAATTTGTGAGCCAGAGGCTAAAAAACTGTGAGCTGGCTCACACTAACTCAGCTTAGAGGGAACACTGGCCTGCAATGCTCCCTCTAAGGCTGTGGAGTTTTGTGAGCAAAAGTTCTACTTTGTGAGCGACTGGCATTAAAGTTGTGAGCGGGCGATCAATTAGTTTGCTTTGGAGACCTCCTTCCTGAGCCGAGACAAAAAATTGTGAGCCGGAGGCTAAAAAACTGTGAGCTGGCTCACACCAACTCAGCTTAGAGGGAACACTGGCCCAGAGAGTGGTTTGTGCGTTTTCTATTTTGGGGGGGATTCTAGGAGGGGTGGAGGCACATTCTCTCGCACAATCGGAAGAAGCGCAGCCCAGAGGAGGCCTACCAGCTCAGTGAGAACTGGCGGTGGCGGAGACTACCATCAAGTCACAGCCGTATTATGGCGATCTCAATGGCTTTTCAAGGCGAGACGAACGGAGGTGGCTTGCCGTTGCCTGCCCCTGCGTCAGAACCCTGGCATCCCTCAGTGGTCTCCCGTCCAAATACTGACCAAGGCCGACCCTGCGTAGCTTCCGAGACTTGACAAGAACAGGCGAGCCTGGGCCTTCCAAGTCTGTGAGAACCAGCCCTGAGAAATAAAGGCGTCTCGTACAGGTTTCTGCGTTGTTAGTAACAGATTTTCCCCGCTCGGAAGCTCAGGCACGTGGGCGGAAGATGCAGCCCCTCAGAGTGGCCGAGGAGTGCTGAGGACGCACGGATGCATGCAAAGGGTGCTGGGACAGGCTGGGTGTTTGCTTTGGCTCAAGCTGAGCGCAGTGCAGAGCCCTCGAAGGAAGAGGCTGCCAAGGATGTGAACGTGTATCTGGCCGTGGACCGCAATAAATTATATTCATTCATGCTGCCAAGGGAGAAGGTCTGTGGCTCCGTGGGAGAGCCTCTGCTTGGCATGCAGAAGGTCCCAGGTTCAATCTCCAAGCATCTCCAGTTACAAGGGACCAGGTAGTAAAAAGGTAAAGGTAAAGGCGTCCCTTGCTCGAAAGCCAGTCGAGTCCAACTCTGGGGTTGCGGTGCTCCTCTCCGTTTCCAAGCCGAAGAGCCAGCGCTGTCCGAAGACGTTTCCGTGGTCATGTGGCCGGCATGACTAAACACTAAGGCGCACGGGACGCTGTGACCTTCCCACCGAAGTGGTCCCTATTTATCTACTTGCAATTTCTTGCTTTCGAACTGCTCGGTTGGCAGGAGCTGGAACTAGAGACGGGAGCTCACTCCGTCATGTGGCACACCCGGGTCTCGAACTGTTGAACTACTGACCTTCCACAGCCTGCAGTTCAGCGTCTTAACCACTTGAGCCACTGCAGCTCCAGGTAGTAGGTGATGGGAAAGACCTCTGCCTGAGATCTTGGGAGAGCTGCTGCCAGTCTGAGTAGCCAATACTGACCTTGATGGACCAAGGTTCTGATTCAGTATAAGGCAGCTTCTTGTGTTCAGTGCAGGTTTCCCATGTGCTCAGTTCTGCTTCTCAGCCTGGGCAGACAGCTGTTCCTCGGTGCATCTCAGTCGAAAGAATTTGGCAAGGCACAGAAACAAACCTTTTGTCCCAGTGTTCCAGAAGCAGCTGCCGTATCGTCCTGCAGGCCCCTTGGGCAGCTGTGGAATTAACTCCCGGCGCAGCAAGCATTGTTGAAATTAATTCTTTTGTGTAAATACATCTTGCGTGCACGACACATGCACCCGAGCATTAGCATAAGCTTGTCCTCCACGGGTGTAAGGGTCAAACGACACATTCCGATTTGTCACGGGTTACCAGACGCTCAAGTGGTTAAGACACTGAACTGCAGGCTGTGGAAGGTCAGTAGTTCAGCAGTTCGAGACCCGAGTTGCCATATGATGGAGTGAGCTCCCATCTCTAGTTCCAGCTCCTGCCAACTGAGCAGTTCGAAAGGAAGAAATTGCAAGTAGATAAATAGGTACCACTTCAGTGGGAAGGGAACAGCGTTCCGTGTGCCTTGGTGTTTAGTCATGCCGGCCACATGACCACGGAAACTTCTTCGGACAGCGCTGGCTCTTCGGCTTGGAAACGGAGATGAGCACCGCAACCCTAGAGTCAGATTCGACTGGCTTTCGAGCAAGGGAACCTTTACCTCTACCTTTTACCAGACGCTCTACCAGTCAGGCTTACGATGAAATGGCCTGTGTTGCTCTTTCCTAATACGAAACGCAGACTGGAGAAAGGGGAAGGGGAAACAGGCGTGAAGTCAGATGTCCACCGCCTGTGGGGCAAAGGGAGAAATGGGAAGAGGCAAAATTTGGGGGAAAATGGCTTGCCGTCAACCGGCAATCTAGGGTGCTTGCTTGGGGCACTAAGAGCAGTCAAAAACCTGCCTTCACAGAGACGTTGTCAGCTACGCAACAGCTTTGTGGAGGGACTTGGCACGTGGGAGGTCCCAGGTTCAATCTCCAGCATCTCCTGTTATAGGAATTGCCAGTAGGTGATGGAAAAGACCTCCACCTGAGACCCTGGAGAGCGGGGCTGCCAGTCAGAGTAGACAATACTGACCTTGATGGACTGATTGTCTGATTCAGTAGAAGGCAGACTAATGTGTTCAATAAGCTTCAGACAGTTTTTGACTTCCCACTGCTTTGAGTGAGAGGGTGAACACCACACACCTCTGCCTTTAGCATGTTCTACCTCCTCAGAGAAACCTTTGGAGGTTGAACCTGGGACCTTCTGCATGCCAAGCAGATGCTCTTACTTGGAAGGGAGACCACCAAGGAAGACTCTGCAGAGGAAGGCGATGGCAAGCCACCTCTGTTTCTCACTGGCCTTGGAAGCCCCTTGCTGGGAGAAGCTAAGCAGGGTCGGTGCTTGGAAGGGAGACCACCAAGGAAGGCTCTGCAGAGGAAGGCGATGGCCAACCACCTCTGCTTCTCACTTGCCTTGGAAGCCCCCTGCTGGGGGAAGCTAAGCAGGGTCAGTACTCGGAAGGAAGACCACCAAGGAAGACTCTGCAGAGGAAGGCGATGGCAAGCCACCTCTGCTTCTGACTGGCCTTGGAAGCCCCCTGCTGGGAGAAGCTAAGCAGGGTCAGTATTCGGAAGGGAGACCACCTCTGCTTCTCACTGGCCTTGAAAGCCCCCTGCTGGGAGAAGCTAAGCAGGGTCAGTACTTGGAAGGGAGACCACCAAGGAAAGCTCTGCAGAGGAAGGCGATGGCCAACCACCTCTGCTTCTCACTGGCCTTGGAAGCCCCTTGCTGGGAGAAGCTAAGCAGGGTCAGTACTTGGAAGGGAGACCACCAAGGAAAGCTCTGCAGGGGAAGGCAATGGCCAACCGCCTCTGCTTCTCACTGGCCTTGGAAGCCCCTTGCTGGGAGAAGCTAAGTAGGGTCAGTACTTGAATGGGAGACCACCAAGGTAAGCTCTGCAGAGGAAGGCGATGGCCAACCACCTCTGCTTCTCACGGGCCTTGGAAGCCCCTTGCTGGGAGAAGCTAAGCAGGGTCGGTGCTTGGAAGGGAGACCACCAAGGAAGACTCTGCAGAGGAAGGCGATGGCCAACCACCTCTGCTTCTCACGGGCCTTGGAAGCCCCTTGCTGGGAGAAGCTAAGCAGGGTCGGTGCTTGGAAGGGAGACCACCAAGGAAGACTCTGCAGAGGAAGGCGATGGCCAACCACCTCTGCTTCTCACGGGCCTTGGAAGCCCCTTGCTGGGAGAAGCTAAGCAGGGTCGGTGCTTGGAAGGGAGACCACCAAGGAAGACTCTGCAGAGGAAGGCGATGGCCAACCACCTCTGCTTCTCACGGGCCTTGGAAGCCCCTTGCTGGGAGAAGCTAAGCAGGGTCGGTGCTTGGAAGGGAGACCACCAAGGAAGACTCTGCAGAGGAAGGCGATGGCCAACCACCTCTGCTTCTCACGGGCCTTGGAAGCCCCTTGCTGGGAGAAGCTAAGCAGGGTCGGTGCTTGGAAGGGAGACCACCAAGGAAGACTCTGCAGAGGAAGGCGATGGCCAACCACCTCTGCTTCTCACGGGCCTTGGAAGCCCCTTGCTGGGAGAAGCTAAGCAGGGTCGGTGCTTGGAAGGGAGACCACCAAGGAAGACTCTGCAGAGGAAGGCGATGGCCAACCACCTCTGCTTCTCACGGGCCTTGGAAGCCCCTTGCTGGGAGAAGCTAAGCAGGGTCGGTGCTTGGAAGGGAGACCACCAAGGAAGACTCTGCAGAGGAAGGCGATGGCCAACCACCTCTGCTTCTCACGGGCCTTGGAAGCCCCTTGCTGGGAGAAGCTAAGCAGGGTCGGTGCTTGGAAGGGAGACCACCAAGGAAGACTCTGCAGAGGAAGGCGATGGCCAACCACCTCTGCTTCTCACTGGCCTTGGAAGACCCTTGCTGGGGTTGCCAGAAGTCAGTCGTGACTGGGTGGCACTTACATACATAAAGTAACCACCACAGTTCTTACACAGATATATGAATTTGGATAAGTATACCCCACTTTTCTCCTCAGTGGGAACCCAAAGAGGCTTACAACACCCCCTCCTCCATTTTATCCTCACAATAACACCAATACTGTGAGGTCGGTTAAGCTAAGAGAGAAACTAGCAGGTCCTAGGCCACTCAGGGAACTTCTGGGCAGAGGGGGGATTTGAATCCAGGTCACCTAGATCTTAATCCTACACTTTTAACCAATGTTCCCTCTAAGTCGTGGAGTCTTGTGAGCAAAAATTCTACCTTGTGAGCTACTGGCATTCAAGTTGTGAGCGAGCGATTTGGCCACTGCATAAATCAGTTTGCTCTGGAGCCCTCCTCCCTGAGCTAAGACAAAAATGTGTGAGCCGGAGGCTAAAAAACTGTGAGCTGGCTCACACAAACTCAGCTTAGAGGGAACACTGCTTTTAACTATTATGCAACACTGGCTGTTTGGCATTAGGGGACAGGGCTTCCGAATCCATGAATTGTAACAGAATAGGCGAATCCAAGAATCCAACCTTGTAACAGAATAGGCGATACGGTCCTGTATTCGCTTCAGCGTGTTCTTTTTCTCCGACTTGAGTGATCCTTTTCCTCCCCTGACCTTTCTCCCGAAGGCGAACGTATTTTGAAGCAATCGGTCAGCAGGATCCGGCCCGGACAGACACCCTTCAGCCTGACGATCAAACACGGCCCAGACAGTAAGTCATTTTCCCTCCGCCAATCATGCTGTTTTCGGAAAGATGAAGGGTGTCTTGTTCTCGGCATCTAGGGCGGCCCATTTTTCTTTCCTAGTTTATGGCGGGCCCAAGAGGTTTGCTTCCATGACCTTCTCCGGTAATGGAAAACAAACTCGTTTCGCGCCACGACCTAATGGTTTTGGCAATCCCCAAAAGAGACTCTTCCTGGCTGCTGTTCTGGCAGCTTTGGAAGTCGAAACATATGGCTGCTGCGGGCTGCATCTCTTCAGAGGACAACCTCCCCGGCTCCCGTTCCTCTCAGAAGATTCCAGAAGGACGGGCAAACCCCAGTTGGCAATATCCTGAGAAGCACAATGTCACCGCCCAAAAGCGCTTTGAAGTATTTAATGACAGCTGATTAGGCAGCGATCCACAGAGTTCCTGGTTTGAGCCTTTCCCTCGCCACAAAGTGGCCCGGTCTCTCACAATCCCAGCTGCATCGTTCTGCTTCACAGGGTTGTTGTGAGGATTACTGAGGCAAGGTGCGCAGAATGGGTCGTAAGCACTGCCTGTCTAGAATCCTCGGGAGAGCATTGTTCTGGAGGGAAGAAATAAATTGGGAAGAAGAAACACGAACCAATGCTCCCTCTAAGCTGTGGGTGCTTGTGAGCAAAAATTCTACTTTGTGAGCTCCTGGCATTAAAGTTGTGAGCGAGCGATTTGGCTGCTCCATAAATTAGTTTTCTCTGGAGCCATCCCTTCCTGAGCGAAGACAGAAATGTGTGAGCCGGAGGCTAAAAAACTGTGAGCTAGCTCACACTTACTCAGCTTAGAGGGAACACTGATACAGGACCAAGGAAATTCTGGGACTTTGCTTTACCGAGGCCTTGACTGAAATCAACTCCTCCTCAGGACAGACTGATGGCAAAAGGGGGAAGGGCTGAGGGGCAGAGCATCGGCTTGGCATGCAGAAGGTCCCAGGTTCAATCCCTGGTGTCTCTAGTTTAAAATGGAACAGGCAGTAGGTGATGTGAAAGACCTCTGCCTGTGACCCTCAGAGCGGCTGCCAGTCTGAATAGGCAAGGGGATGATTCCACATAAGGATTCTCATCTGTCGTGTGTCGGTGTGTCCAAAACTCACCACACACTCAGGACCGGGCTCAGTTTGGTGTAGTGGTTGAGTGCGCGGACTCTAATCTGGGAAAACCGGGTTTGATCCCCCACTCCTCCACTTGCACCTGGCTGGATGACCTTGGGCAAGCCGTAGTTCTGATAAGAGCTGTCCTTGAAAAAAGAGCAGTTTCTGTCAGAGGTCTCTCAGCCCCACCTACCTCACAGGGTGTCTGTTGTGGGGAGGGGAAGGGAAAGGTATAAATCCAAAGGGAAAACTATAAATCCAAACAGAAAGGTATAAATCCAATTCAGTTTGGTGTGAGAGCCAGTTGGTGTAGTGGTTAAGTGTGCAGACTCTAATCTGTGAGAACTGGGTTTGATTCCCCACTCCTCCACTTGCACCTGGCTGGATGACCTTGGGCAAGCCGTAGTTCTGATAAGAGCTGTCCTTGAAAAAAAGAGCAGTTTCTGTCAAGAGCTCTCTCAGCCCCGCCTACCTCACAGGCAATGTTCCCTCTAAGCTGTGGAGTCTTGTGAGCAAAAATTCTCCTTTGTGAGTGACTGACATGAAAGCTGTGAGTGAGGGATCTGACTGCTGCATCAATTAGTTTGCTCTGGAGCCCTCCTTCCTGAGCAAAGAGAAAAAATGCGTGAGCCAGAAGCTTAAAAACTGTGAGCTAGCTCACACTAACTCAGCTTAGAGGGAACACTGCTCACAGGGTGTCTGTTGTGGGGAGGGGAAGGGAAAGGAGTTGGTAAGCCCCTCTGGGACTCCTTTGGGTAGTGAAGGGTGGGGTATAAATCCAACCACCTCCTCCTCCTCCTCCTCCTCCTCCTCCTCCTCCTCTTCTTCTTCTTCTTCTTCTTCTTCTTCTTCTTCTTCTTCTTCTTCTTCTTCTTCTTCTTCTTCTTCTTCTTCTTCAGATGAGGGCCCTGCCAAAGACTCAAGGGGTGCCCGAATCCTGCCTTTTCTGTTCTTCAGGTCAGGGTATATGGACAGCGTGGTTCAATATCGACCACCCGGGTGGCAACGGGGACTACGAGCGCTTGGATGCCATCCGGTTCTACTACCGCGACAGGGTGTGCCCCAGGCCCTTCCGTGTCGAAGCTCGCACGATGGACTGGGTCCCCGCGGGCAGCACGGGCCAGGTGGTCCACTCCAGCGCACAGGAGGGGTTCTGGTGCCTGAACAGGGAGCAGCCTTCCGTGGAAACCTGCTTGAATTACGCCATTCGCTTCTTGTGCCCCGCAGGTAAGTGGGCGGGCCGTTTCTGACATGCAGATTAGGTTTTCCAGCGTGGTTCGATAACCAGAAAAGTCCTACCTGAATGAGGCTTAGAGGGGAGAACTTGTAGAAGGTTGATGTCTCCTTCCCCCGTGATCTCCTTGGCCCTGCTCCGCCCTGGCAACTCGCTGGGTGACCTTGGGCCAGTCACATATTCTCTCAGCCTAGCCTACCTCGCAGGGTTGTTGTGAGAAAACGGAGGAGGGGGGGAGAATGATGTAAGCCGCTTTGGGGGAAAGGAGGGGTATAAATAAAGTGAATAAATAAATCACCCAAGCATTATTTATTTCACTGAATGCGTGTATATATAATTTATTTTAAAGGTTATAATAATTTTGAAATGTTTTAATGTTTTGATGTTCGCTGCCTCAGGGACCCTATTTGGGTGGAAAGGTGGCACAGAAATGTTTTAAATAAATACATTTATTTACTTCGTTTATATCCTGGCCAGTAGGGAACTAAAGCATCATACTCCCCCCTCCTCCATTTTACCCTCACAACGACCCTGTGAGGTAGGTGTCAGGCTCCCAGTAAAACCACTATCGACTCAAGCTTTCTTTTGAAAGTTTATTTGAGAAGATTTGGTTAACTGTAGAGACAAACGCCTTTGTCAGGACTGAAGAAGTTAGCCCTGGGGATTGGTCATAAAGATAGTTCCCACCTTCCATGTATACGTCACACATTCAAGCAGCTTGAATGTGTGACGTATACATGGAAGGTGGGAACTATCTTTATGACCAATCCCCAGGGCTAACATCTTCAGTCCTGACAAAGGCGTTTGTCTCTACAGTTAACCAAATCTTCTCAAATCTACAGGTCATGATAGTTAAGCGACCCATCTAGCTATGTCCAAAGTCTTCACTCTCCCAAGGTCGACTCTCATGGAAACCCTGAGAACGTCCTGGTCTAGGGGCTGCACAGAAAGAACAGTTACAATGGGCGCGCCCTAGCAATCAGACTCACACTCACCCCCCAGGAATGTCATGTCAGCGAGGGCTGGTAGATAAGGGCACAGAGTAATACCAGATGTGCCAAGCAAGAATACAAAGGCAAAAGTAAGCATTAGCAATAGAGTGATCAATAACCATAAAACTATACAGCCTGGCCCGAGTCTGACAGTAGGTTAGGCTGAGAGTCTGTGACTGGCCCAAGGTCACCCAGCGTGCTTCCATGGCAAAGTGGGGATTTGATCAAGAACCTGAAAAGGTAAGTCAAACTGAGTAGACAGCCAATTAAAACTTAATGTATAAATAAAATGTAACCAATTCCTTTCTGGTCCATTTTGTCTCCGTGCTGTATAATTGCATTGTATTATGTATTGCGGTATAAGTCAACTTGTTCCTCGCTGTGTTTGACCTCTGAAGAAGGCCCCAAGAGGCCAAAAAGAGTCAGGTCAAGCCCATTGGTCCTTGTGTATATATGATTTTGGTGTTTTTACATGAGGTGTGATCGGGCCTCAATATGTTTTTTAAATCTTTACTAATAGACACATGTATTTTTTACATGTTCTTCATACATTCAGTTTTAATTGTTGGCCCTCTACTCAGTTTGACTTACCTTTTGAGGTTCTCCCCCCCCCCCACATTCTATTTATCAGTTTTCCGCTTAGTTATCACTTAAAGTAAAGGAAAGCCAGGGTTGCGGTGCTCATCTCCGTTTCAAAGCCGAAAAAACAGCGCTGTCCGAAGACGTTTCCGTGGTCATGTGGCCGGCATGACTAAACACCAAGGAGCACGGAACGCTGTTACCTTCCCACTGAAGTGGTACCTATTTATCTACTTACAATGTCTTGCTATCAAACTGCTAGGTTGGCAGGAGCTGGAACTAGAGACGGGAGCTCACTCCGTCATGCGGCAACTCGGGTCTCAAACTGCTGAACTACTGACCTTCCACAGCCTGCAGTTCAGCGTCTTAACCACTTGAGCCAGCGCAGCTCCAGTTATCAGTTACATATATTTATTTTTATATACATTTGAGTCTTTATTTTTCATGCTCTATTAATCCAATTATACAGGCGTTCCCATCTTTTAAAAAATACATTATCATCTTTCCCTTGAAGAGTTAAGCTTAATTTGGCCATTTCTGCTATTTCCAGTAATTTACGTTCTATTTCCTCTCTTGTGGGAAGTTCATCTTGCTTCCAATACTTGGCTAACAATATCCTGGCAGTTGTTAATATATATCTATCAACAAGTACTTATCATTTTGCTTATACCCCTCCGGAATTATGTTTCATAAAGCTATTTCAGGAGTTAAGATTAAATTTACATTCATTGTATCTAATATTGTCTTCTGTGCCATCCTCCAAGAAGTATAAATTTTCCCGCATCGCCACCACATGTGGAAGAAAGTCCCCACATTTCTTTTACACTTCCAGCAGTTTTTAGACACAGATGGGACACTTAGCTATTCTATCTGGGGACTCTTTTCAGGTCCTCGATCCTAGTTTTCAGGGTTTTGTTTCCCCTTTTTTGTTCAAAGTGGGGATTCGAACCCGGGCCTCCCGGAGCCTGGTCACCCTGACAACTACATCAGACTGGCTCTCGATGCGTTATAGCACTTGCATGAAGGACACAAAAAGGGGGGGAGGACAGGGTGAGCTGCCACGGGAACCACGATAAGCACTCCCATGAGAGCCAATGTGGAGTCACTGCAGAATAAACATGGAAAGGAAAAGTCTGGGGGAAGACAGAGGGAGTTACGCAGGAAACTCCCACACGTGGAAGTTCCACCGCCAAGGGACATGCTTTGGCATTTGTAGCAGTGACGGAAGCAACACAGAGCGTCCTCACTGTGCGGAAGCAGCCGGTGTGGGCAGATCACATGGTGCTAGGGCTGCCAACCTCCAGGTGGGGTCTGGAGGCCACCCGGAATTACAAGCGATCCCCAGACTACAGGGATCTCTTCCCCTGGAGCAGTGGTGGGCAAACTCATTAGCCAAGAGAGCCAGATATCAACAGTACAACGATTGAAATTTATTTTGAGAGCCAAATTTTTTAAACTTAAACTATGTAGGTAGGTACATTGTTATTAACTTAATTAGGGTACTCCTCACGGAAACGTCTTCGGACAGCGCTGGCTCTTCGGCTTCGAAACGGAGATGAGCACCGCAACCCTAGAGTCGGATTCGACTGGCTTTCGAGCAAGGGAACCTTTACCTTTACTCTTTAAACTGGCCTTTGCTAAAAATGTCCTCAGTCTGATTGAGGTACGTTCGCTGAGGTCAACCCCTTCCAACTCTCCCATCCACACTTGTCTTGTATACTTGTTTCATCTCCTTTCATTCATCCTCTCTATATGTCCAAAGTATCCATAAAATTAAATCATTACAAAATAAATCACGACAAACGCTAATGTGAACAATGGCCTTGCATCTCCTTGGAAAGTTTGGGTAAATCAGGTTTGTATGTTGTTGTTTTTAATTTTAGGCACGCACTAGAGAGCATCAATATGTATGGCCTCGCTGGACCAGATTCATGGTTCTTAGCTAGCAGCTAGCATTCTGTTCCCAACTGCAGCCTTCCAGAGGCCTCTGGAAGCTCAAAGAGCTGTTTGCCCTCCCCCATTCTCTCAACAGCATTTCATATTAAGAGGTTCAGTGTCCCTGAACGTAAGCTTGATCAAGTTCACAATATATTTCATCTCTACGGGTTCCACCCCCTCCAAACTTCCCACCCACATCTTGAGGCAGTGGCTTTCACAAGTTAATTGGCGGGGCAGTTTTCAGAGGCCAGCAACAGTAATCCTTCCTACCCTGCTCAGCTGTTTCAAGCACGCAACACTGAAAGCAGAGTCGACAAAAAGTGGCCACTCAAAGTTCCCTCTAAGCTGATTCCTGGTCCCAAAGTGGCGATCAGCATTTCCCTGGGTGTGTAAGAAAGGGCCACAAGAACTAAGCACTGATGCAACCCTTCCTGCTCTACCTCTTGTGATATGCCTAAGTTTACACAATCAGCATTATGATCCTTTTAAAGTTGAAAGCATGCTATAAATGCAAAGGATTATTTGTAAGATTATCTGTAAGACCGGGACGCATCTCACTTCTGGCAATCACTTGGAGAGACCCTATCACTCAGCTTCCATTGCCCCACACACATCCCACACTGGAATAAGAACATAATATCAGGCCATACCACATTGCAATAAAGCCCCTACAACTGTATACAGAAATACTGAGCTTCCCTACCATTTGCCACAACTAGCCCACCACACAACCAGGATCAAGACTCCTAAGTGGACCAACAGACTCGTTTGAGAAACTGAGTATTACATTACAACACCTCTGGAACATTACAGATCAGTAGAGGCAGCACTGCACAGTGGTCAGAGTTGCAGATTGATGTGGGGAGACCCAGGTTTGTATTCTCACTCTGCTGGCTGAGTGACCCCAGGCCAAATCTCCCCTTCTCTACCTAACCTACCCCACAGGGTTGTTGTGAGGATGAAATGGAGACTCATGGGCAGGGCCCCCAGCTTCCCTGGCAGGAACACTATGTTACGAAATCTCTCACAATTATGCAGCCATAGCTAGATTCCTTAAAGGAGTGTTTCTTCCTTAAAGGAGTGTTTATGCAACTGAAAAAGCATGCTTACTATCACATGTTGTCTGAGAGAGCTTTCAAGAGCCATATCATTAAAGTAACCAGCAATAATCTTAAATCTGGAATTCCAAACACTTTGGGGTTGTATCAATATGAATAAAAACGAAAAGTGTTTGCAAAGAAGTGTTTGGTCATTACAACACAGCACCACCACTTCGGCCAATATACTACTTGATCGCATGTTTCAAGTACTGAAGGTTTAGCAATTACCTCCTGAAAAGACTACAGAAGGGAAAGCAAATGTATCCTAAAGCACTCTCTCTGCCCACATACACAAAAATGTTCTGGGCACAGCAGCTGTAAACTTGGGTCCCCTGCTCATTAACTCCAATGCTCTGGCCTAACTACATCAGATGACCACGTTCTAGTTGTTCAGGTGTCAAATACTATTTGCCAATGCACAGATTATGATGAAATGACACTTCACCGATAGGCATCGGCATAAAATTACAATTCTACAATGTAAAATGTTTTATTAGCATTCTGTTAACACCCAGAAGTTAACCTATACCAATCTTTAAAGGTAGGGAAATAATACATGGGGGGGGGGGTTATAGTAGCTGGGCGACGCTCTAGCAATGGGGCTGAAAACTCGATGGTACCATCGAGTTTTCAGCCCCATTGCCAGAGCATCGGCCGGCTACATGCCCAGCGTGCCGACGTCACGTCTGGGCGACAGCATAGGGCAACGCGGGTGTGTTACAGGCAGGAATGTTCCAGCAGGAAAGCACGTGTCCCCTGCCGATTCGCAGGAGGTACTTGGTAGCCCTAGTTGGCATCCGTATCTGGGATGCTGATCAAAACAGACCTATCTGGACCAGCTGCAACATGTTCTATATGAGGAACGATTCCATCCACTCATGTACTTGGATAAAAAATTACATTCAAGGGGGTTATCTGTGTGTAAGGTTGCCAAGTCCCCCCGGGGAGTGGGGAAATCCCTGCCCGAGAGGCCTGTTCCCCACCAGTGGGGATTGGGCCAGCGGGGGGGGGGACTCCAAAGCGCATGATGTGCCCGGCGTGATCATGTCCCCCGGAGGTGACGCAATCGCGTCGGGCACGTTGCGGGGGGACGCTCTATCATCTGAGGGAAAACTCTATGGTTTTCCCTCAGATGATTGTGGCCCCACCCCCAACATGCGCGACGCGATTGCGTCACTTCCGGATGACGTGATTGCGGCGTGCGCACAAAGCGCACGCACCAGGAGACTCCCGGGGACATCCGGGCCTCCCCCCGCTATTACAAAGGTAGGACTTGGCAACCCTATCTGTGTGAGTTTTGTAGGAAGAGTGCTTGGTGGAAATCCAAGAAGGCTGGCTGGGAAGAGCTCCAAAAGGAACTCTTCTCCACTCCTTGTGCATTGGCAACTGGCCATCAACAGAGGCAAAAAGGGATGAACAGAGAGAGAGAGAGAGAGAGAGAGAGAGAGAGAGAGAGAGAGAGAGAGAGAGAGAGAGAGAGGAGATGGCGGCGGGGAGAG